TAAGGTACATAAACTTTTGGGACTGACTGTATAGCCAATACATCCTTAAGTTATCATTATAACTCCGGATAAAAAAATTGGAAAACGTGACCTTCACATTTTTCCTTAGCTTTTTACTTAATTTCAATTTTTTCGCAATCTTTTATACACGTATTGTATTTATTATACACTCCTGACTACTCAAAAAATCTCAGGTTGTTTGGTCCAATTTTACAAAAGTTATACAATTTTAAATAGCGTGTGTTCAGTTCTGCTCTGAACTGTACATTTCACGTTCTTTTTTATTTATAAAGTACATAATATTATTTTCTATTTATAAAGTACATAAAATACTTAGTCTTATATTAGTTAATTGTTAAGGACGTTTTTGTCTCCGGGAAGGAGGAACAGCTAACGAAAGAGTCCCCATGAAACTTCGTAACTTTCCACATCGCCTTGTATTATACATATTTTCCCGCGAAGTCCCGGCAGAAACTCCGGGGCGAGAGTCTGAAAAATTTTCAGGAAAACTCGCCGCTGGATGTGGTATTAGTACCCGTGGAATCGACAGCGCGCTCTGCGTTCACGAACGTGTCCGCGTTCGTGTGTATACAATACAAAGAGAACAAGCAACTGCGCTATTTAACAAGTTCTGCTGCTGCAGCCAGTTTAGGGGGGAAATGCAAAAACTTCCCGTGGCAATCTGTGTGTATTGTTTTCCGTTTTTTATTCGGCTCCTCGAAAAATTTGAAAAGAATAAAATGCGCCCATTCCCCCTATTGTTACGTGCATGCAAAAAGAATTAACCGGGTAGCTCGTACATTTTTGTCAACTAAATATATTCTCCTAGGCGTGCTAATTATACGCATTCATTTCATGTGCAAATAATTTTTTGAATTGTAGCACAATTATAATCATAATTATCGTATAATCTCCTTTATGTCATAATCTCGCGTGTCACGAGATTGGTACATCGTTTTATTTCACTTTTTGTATCGAATTTTATAGCAATATTTTCTTGCCACTCATCCGTCGAATAATGATTCGAGTGGTGAATGCATAATAAATCCTGTTCCGCGGAAGCCGAATGATTGAAAACTCTTTCCAATTACAGGAGTGGAATGACGTGAACATGAGATGGAACACGTCGGATTACGGGGGAGTGAGAGACCTCAGGATCCCGCCTCACCGACTTTGGAAGCCTGACGTTCTCATGTATAACAGGTAATTTAACGGCACGCTCATCTGTTCAATATTCATAGAACAATCCGTTTTATACCCTACCACGCTCGTAACTAACAATGCTAAAATCGTTCGTTACACTTTCCTCGAACCTAACTCAGCACTCTTACCAAATCTGCTGGTTATTATGAAAAAAACAAAACGAAAATTTAGGTTTCTATCTGTATGCATGATGTGATATAAGTTTACACTTGACTGAATATCAATCAATAGAATTTTTGACGTTCGTTTAACACTAAATCTACCAGTGATTAAATTTTTCTATAATAAATAAAAAGAAATCAAAAATTATTTTGTCATATTGTTGAAGTTGTTTCAATTTCTCATTGCCAATGTCCCATTGCACATCACAATTTTTATCCACTACCTTCCTTTTTCTATAATTTTATGTGTAATCTTAAGGTTGTATGAGCTGTAAGATCTCTGCCAAAAGTTTAAGACATGTAATAAAAAGTTATGCCCAATATCCGCGGCAATGGACTATTAGAAAAAATGATAAAATTTCTAAAATTTTGTACAGTGTTTTATTAATGTAATATCTAGTAACTGTTTAGAAATGAATATCGTTGCTCTCATTTAAGACATCGAACAACCTTAATTAGATCGCATGTTGAAACAGGCGGGACAAAAAGTACGGTAGATATAACAAAGAAAGGAACCTGGTTTCAATTTTGACGTTGTTTGAAGACGGGTATAGTGTGTGCATTTCTTGTGGGATACGATATCCGTGGACCGGGTGGATGGATCCTAAAGAGGAAATACTTTGACGATATCGAATCGAGCCTTATTTCAATCAGATCGTATCTATGCAAATACATCGGTGTACGACCTGACCCGATCTGAGACACCCGATACCCGATAAGCACCAGTGCGCGACTGTATCCGATTTTAAACGGAAATCAATACCGGAACAAGTCTAGCATCGACCCGCTCTGATTCCCTAACTGGTTCGAACATTCATCACTTTACTTTGGTATTGTAGTATAGATTTATCCGATCCGACGTCACGCTTATGAAACTATAAGATAGGAAGTGTCAGAAAGTTACTCCAGATCCGGTCACATTCTTTTTTCCAGTCAATGGACAAACCCTTCGCTCACACGTTATACATATATATCAATTGTAGACAGCCACTAAGACAGCGGATGTGTAGGAAAATATAATACATATTTTATAGAAAGTAGATAAAGTTGTATTGCCCAGAAATTCTGTTGTAATTGTGTAGGAAAATATAATACATATTTTATAGAAAGTAGATAAAGTTGTATTGCACAGAAATTCTGTCTGTGGATTTGCAACTATAGTACTTATTTTGCATATTATGTGTATTGCACATATTTTAAAGTCAATGTCAATACTAAATTGCACTCAAATATGAAAAATATAAATACATTATATTAGTGTGCGAAAATGATCGGTAGCTTCAGTCTTAAAAAGCATTGATATAGTTTTTCAATTAAATGTTTGTGTAACAATATGAGAATAGAACATCAGTCGGCGTAGATCAGAGTTTCATTAAAGGTGAAATGTAAAGTTTACATCTGAATAAGAAAGGAGTATCGCTCTGAGACAACTCCCAGTGTTCTTTCATAAAACAGGCTCGATCCGAGCTCATTGTCAGCTTCATTGTATCTGCGGTTGACACCGAAGAAAACTGCTTCTACAGAGTGAACAAAATAAACTGGAAATGGTCATAAGCATTAATATTAATGAAGATTCGCTTCTTCCGAATGAATAAAACATTTCGATCGCAAAAATTGCGAATTTTCTTTGACGAACCAGCACAGCGTCTGGAATTATCATACAGTCATGGAACAGAGTCCCAATATCCATAGAGAGCTTGATACGCAGTAAGTTATCGAGAATTTAAATAACAAAATATACAGGGGGAGGAAACAGTTTCCGTGGGGGGAAAGGTGATATCGTAAATTGGGAAACGTCGCGTCGTTTCGAGCCACTGGAATCTGTGCTTTTCAACTTATACGCAAGTAGCTGAAGTTGAAATATGTAGTTGCTACCAGGGAAATATATCGCTGTCCTCTGTTCCCGGCGTCGCTACTCTTCCGCCCAAAAATTTAAGTGAATTCGATAAAAAAAAAAAAACGATTCAATGGTCTGCGTGCTTGGACCCGCTTTTGCTCGACCTAGAAACAACTACGTGTCACGAATGCTGTTAGCAAATTCTACGCTCTAAAAACAACAACGTTTCACACCAATTTAAATGCTAATGCTAAGACTATTACTTGTTACCTTATAAATAGAACTACCCGGATGCTGATAAAACAATAATTTTAAGAACTTGTATTGTTCTAATAAGATCTAAGCTTAAATGGTACTCTGAGATTCAGCATAAGAATACAAGATGTAATAACTTTTATAATAATCTCGCGAAATTTGTCAAAGTTTTTGTGTTTGTGTTTTATGTTTGTGTTTTATTAATCTAACACCTAATGACTGTTGAATGCTTTGTCGTTGGCTTTATTTATGAACTCATAAGTACAACCTTAATGAAACTTCGTACCTACTCCCCCAAACTTATTACATGAAACACACGTAATTGTACTAATTTTTAGGTGCTAAACACGAATATGACAATCGTTCTTGGCGAAAATTACAATTTATATAATATAAGAGAATTTACTTAATAACTTTAAATAATAAAAGTTTTTTTTAAATAAATCAATCTGTTTTTAAATGCGTCCGAATATTAATGAGGGCCACTGTGTTTAGGAAACAATTATAAAAGGTCTAATCCAAATATTAATGATTCAACGCCGTCGTAAAACAATTTAGAATATTTGCGTGCTTATTCACTATTAACTAGACGTAAACCATTCACTCGTTTCTAAGTGTCCAACTGAAAAAGACGCATTTCCCAATAGGGAAGAAATTCAAAGACGAACGATCACAATTTGGATCAGCTCAATAAACGTATTAGTCTATAGTGATCGTATATCTAAAGTGATTTTAAATACCAAAAACAGAGCCACATGTTGTTCAAAAATCTTGATAATTATTGTATGTTACTAATTAATAAATCAACATAATTCTCAACCAAAGAAATTATGTTCGTCTTTCGGCTCTTACACCTTGCCTTCCAAGCTTCCGCCAAGACTGTTCCAGCTGTTTCATTCAATACACTGTGTATAGTTATCAAAGAAGATTGATTTGCTTTTCACACCCTTAACTGCTCTTCAATAGTTATTGAAGAGCAAAGAGCACTGGTATTAATCTATATCGAGATTCAAATACCACATTTGCTATAGACGCGTACACCAGGCAGTACGCAATAATAATTCGTTAATCATTCTCGTTATTATGAATGCAGCTTTAATCGCATCGCATGTGCGCGTGGTTGTTTCACTACTTTCTATGCATCATTTACAGGCGACCACACGTAGCCATCCGAGCTTGCACGTTTAATTACGCTCATATGCGCGAGGCCCGATACTAAATGCCGTGCGTGCAATATCGTGCGCACCAGGTCATAGACTCACTTTTACAAACTCCGCGAATCCGTGCATGTACATATATGTATGTATGCACGTAATATACGTACGTATGAAAACTTGCAGTGAAGCCCTGGAATCCAAACGTGGCTTTAATCGCTCTTGCGCTCCTCTGTCCTTAATTACGCGAAATTTGTAGTCGCACGTTGCCAGCATCGCTTTTGCATAGTTGCTTTAGAAACAGATATTGAATCTTTTTTAATGGTGAACACCGCCAACTAAAAATGTTCAATTACGCCGCATCGAGTGGAAGCTCGATATTTGTTAAATAAAAAAATCAAGCTTCTGTCGAGGTGAAATGAAAGAAGGGATTGTTGCGCGTTTGATTAATTCAATTTGTTCTGTAATTCCATATAAACCCTCGAAGCTAATCGAAATGAATTTGTACGTAACGATCGTTGGCCAGTTTCCGTCGCGGCTCAAACGCAGAAACAATATTAATCTTCGCGTGCACGTAACGCCGGTCACTTCAGAGAGAGCACTTACTCTCTGAAAGACCGTGCACGAGTGAATCGCGTCGAGGATCGATCAATTAGCCGCTTTGTCGCCTCGTCACACCGCGCGCCGCGTCGCACCTCGCATGCTCCACTTTTCACCTGACTAAGAACTGCTCGTTCCCGTTTTATTATGTTTCAATCCCGAAGCCGAGGCAACCATCGGGATTGTTGATAAAACCCGTCGGCGAATAAAAAATGATAGAACGGTTCCAAATGGGTAAATTAGATTCTAATTTATCAATGGACGTCCTCCTTTCCGTTCAACGGTTTTACGCCAACATTGTTCGAGCGACTATTGTATTATATGAAACAGGCGATTTACAGCCTGTTCTCAGTTTATTCCTGTATTTATTCAATTCGCTCTTTTTTACCACGGTGAATGAAAAAACGTTGTCTATATTGTCTTTTTTTTTCAACTGCGAATTCGGGTTACCTTCGAATCAGCAAATGAAACTGTTTTCAACTTCGCAGCTAGTTAAATTATTCCGTACCGTTCGCAGGGTAATCGAACAAACAATAGCGACGCGGCGCGATTCGAAATTAATCAAACTCGACGAATGAGAAAAAAGTTTGTCAATCCCTCCTTTAAACGTGCGTCGATTGCAAAAATAACGAACTGACGGTTGTGCCTTTTTTTTTAAACCGTCGCGTCGGTGTCCGTCGAACGAACGCGTGTTGGTAATTGGGAAACAGAGGAGAGGGCGAAAAAGGGTTTATCGAGACAGTCAATCCGTTAAGAACGATCTAGATTCGGAACTATCAGAAGTTCCCGGTGACTGGTAGGTATGTGGGGGAAAAGTGGGACGCCGGGCCAAGTGGGTCAGTCGCATTAAAAACAAAGCCACCGCCACGATTTAAAGGGAATCAGGAAAAGTATCCCTTCCCTTCTTTTCCATCCCCGCCATGCGGAAATATATTGTCGGAAACGCTTGCGGCCTCTATTGTTTTTAAGTAGGTAATGTATCGGCGTCGCCAT